TCGGGGCTGCCACTTTTTGTGAGTAGAAATCTGTATGGGTCAGACCCCAGCCGGGAGACAGGGGGGGGTAAAGGAGCCAGTGCCCAATTTAGAAGCCAAAGCACTTTTTTAGGATTCAAGGGCCGGAACATCAGTGAGACTAGAGCCACGGGTGTGTGTAGTCCCCGGTAGCCTACTCGGTAGAGGACTGTCCCGGGAAGACACATGGGTGCTGGGTTCGAATCCCGCTCGTGGATCCTTCTTTTTGCAACAGATCCCATCTGGTCTCTTGGTATGCTGCATCTCCATGGTTACCACCTATATCCGTGCTACATGTCCACGGTTACCACCTATACATCTCATTGCTTTGTAACTTGCTAATCCCTACTACCCCTTTTGTGTACGTGCTATTGTTTTCGGTTTTTTTCTTCTTCCGTGGTTGGTCTCATCCTCTCCTCAATTCAATTGGCTGTCTTGACATGCTAAGAGGTGCAGAAATAAATAAATAATTATCCATGCTATGTATCCATGGTTACCACCTACACCCATGGCGTGCATATCCAGGCTACATCTCCATGGTAACCACCTATATCCATGCTACTCTGTATCCGCTGCTCTCCGTGTGTAGATTCTTCGTACGTCGATTTGACGGCCGAGACTGAGCACAAGAACGCCAACCCGTACTTCTACGCCGCCATTGCAGCGACCATAGTGCTGGTACTGTTCATGGCGTTCTTCATGCTATTCGCTTACCAGTTCTACAAGTACATGATAAAGCACAGGTAGGGTAGGGATGGGTCCTTGTTGGAAATGTCGTTAACCCTTTATGTACGTTGTGTACTTGAATGTAATCATGTATGATTCATGATCAATTCCTAAATTCTCTGTAAGGAGAATTCAACAATCGAATGGTGTCTGTAGTAGTGGAAACTCCAAGCTTTCCAATGCAACAATTGCCGAAGAGTTAAGATGTCAGACGCCAGAGATATCACATGTTGTATTCTTATCTCTGCAAATTCATATCTTCGATCGATACTCATTGCCATTTCGGGGGAACCTTTTTTCGTGCCTTTTTAGCGACTGAGCACAAACTATTGATGTGGTGGACTGAAATCGGAATCACCTCTAGAACATTTGAGTAGTTTTTCTAGGGAGGAGAGTGAAATAGCGTTGATAGGGCTGAATTAATGCATGAGACGACTTCGCGGTGTTCCCGCGCATTGTATGCGGTGGTTGCTCGTTAGTGCCTGCTATTCTTGTGGTCCTCTCACCGAGAGGTTTCCAACTAGCCCAGGATTGTGAAAATCGTGCACAGCTGTCAGTGCTATTCCAGCTGTGCACGACATATTATGCAGTGTAGACTGGAGACTGGCTTGTAACATCCTGTAAAAGCCATTATTCTAACGAGGCGCATATATAACGATTTCCCAAAATTGACTAGTTTACGTGTACCAAATGTAACGATTCTCACTCATTCTCAACGCTCAATCGGACAGTATATGTACCGATTTCTGTACAACGGTTTCTATTTTAACGACAGATTTCTCCTCGTTAACTCGTTAGAGTTAGCACTTCGTTATCCATATATGGCTTTTACAGTAGATGCTAGTGCAGACGTCTCTACTGTGTGTGTCATGTGTCATGCTCCCTCTCTCTCTCACCACCGTGTACCCATTGTCCGCGTTCCTCACTATCATTCACTCCCCTTCCTCCTCCCATCCTCCTGGTTTTACTGCATTATGACGCACTTTGTCTGCTTAGACGCCGAGACCTTTAAGTTTTGGCCCCGCCACCACTTATCGCACACATTCAGGAATATAGTGGACTTTCGTATAAAAAATTATAAAAATGCAATAGTCTCCCGAGGTTTTAAAGTTTCTTCGTGTTCTTACTGACGTGTTGTCGCTGTTTCTACGTGTTCTTACTGACGTGTTGTCACTGTTTCTACGTGTTCTTACTGACGTGTTGTCGCTGTTTCTACGTGTTCTTACTGACGTGTTGTCGCTGTTTCTACGTGTTCTTACTGACGTGTTGTCGCTGTTTCTACGTGTTCTGTTCCAGATTTCATTTGGCAAAAACCAACCTGGAAGAGATGAGACAGACAATGGCAGAACTGCAAGCTCAAGATGAGCTTGACGGACTCCGGGATCACGATACCTTTTCGAGGTACTCAGGTATGGGATGGTAGTTGGATAGGTGATAGTTGTACGCCAATTACCTTTATCTCTGGTTGTTCTGTTCAGTCATAGTTCTGTTATTGGTGTTAGGTGTTTTCTGTTTGGACTCCCGCAATAAATGAAATATACAACAACACACACACTTTCGTCTCTCTCTCTCTCTCTCTCTCTCTCTCTCTCTCTCTCTCTCTCTCTCTCTCTCTCTCTCTCTCTCTCTCTCTGTCTCTCTCTCTCTTTCTCTTTCTCTCTCTCGCTCTCCTTCTCTTTCTCTCTCTCTCTCCTTCTCTCTCCTTCTCTCTTTACATGGCTTATGACTTTCATTGATAAGGTCATTGACATAGAAAGGATGGCAAAGTGCAAGAGTGAGTTTCGGGTGATGTTTTTCTAGTGTCTGTTGCAGTATCATCAATATTTATAAAATTTCCTGGCATTTCAAACAGGTTAATTTCCTCACTCTTGCAGCTTATCACCCTTCCGATTTCTATGGCATTATCATTGTTGTTTTTAGCTGTTCTTCATTTCCGTGTTCCACCACCTCTCTACGGTACTCAGTCCTTGGTCTTTGTTCCTTTGCTCTTGCCTGTCTATCACCGGAAGAGAAGGCTTCGTGGAAACTTTTTTTTTAATGTTGCTGTCGCCGAACGTGAAGTGTGTCCCCCTTCTAAAGTTTATTCACCGTATACTGTAAATATACAAATTTTCGGCAGCTATTTAATTTCGGCTCTATTCGGCACCTACCAAAAACGCCTAAATTAAAACGCAGATGAAAATTTTCACAGCATCTGTCGCACTATACCATGCCCTCTACCCCACGCCGAAAATATATCGCCGCCGAAATGTCAAAAATCGTGAAGTGCCGAAATTTTGTATATTTACAGTATTATTGTTTCTCACTAACCCTGTGTGTAGATCAGACCCACCAAAGGGATCAAAGACCGAAAATCCCACCACTGCGGCACCTGCGCCTTGATTCGTGTTGGTGGTGGCGGTGTTCCTACGGACGCGGAAAACTCGGCGTTCAGCCGAGTCTCACGCGAACCGTCATCTATTTTAACCGTGTGTGTGTGTGTATGTGTGTGTGTATATGTGTGTGTGTTCGCGTGTGTGCACGTGTTGCAGGTGATTGGCACCGCACACCGGGATCCTTCAGCCACTCCAGTATTAACAGGTACCATGCGTCACACGACACGGGCTTGGCCGTCGGTATTCACGGCACGCCTGTCGGTGGGCGGCAGGCTCTCGGCCGTGACCGTGCCGGCTCCGAAGCCTCGCTGTCCTCCTACAACCCGTATCGGCAGACAGCCGCAAGCTACGGAACGCACGCGCACACGCACAGGTCAACGTCACCCGCAGCCCCGACCGTTCACACCCAAGCTGGTTTCTCTCAGCAATCGGACGTAAGGACTGACACTTGAGGGGTCCATACACACCTGAAGAATTGACACACATATACACACACGCATGCACGTACCCGCGCGCGCACACACACATTCTTTCCTAAGAAGTTTTTGGACATCACGCAATTGCATTATAGCAAGAAAAAGGCGGGTTGCCAACTGACAACCGCTCTACATATATATAGTTGCTATTCACTCAGGTCTGCACTGAATTGGAAAATTCTTTTATTGATGTTGCACAAGCCATGTTGCTATGCCGTCGCAAAACTGCTCAATGCCACGAGGGCAGAGCCAAATTCACAAGTTAGCCAATGGAACAAGGCTGAGTTGAGCTGTAACTCGGAGTTTCATGGCTATCCGCCAATCCTCAGATAACAATAATGATACAGGTGGGACGTGCCAAGGGTTGTAGGGGGAAGCGGTAAGGACTGCAATAAGGACTCATTTATAGAAAAGAAAAAGGACCAGGGAACTACAAATTTCTGTAAATTTATCCTAGGCTCTCCATCCAAGTCTGATAAGGACTCAGCAATCCGTATTGCTTTCTGTCCTCTAATACTAGGCACTTTCCACCTGTATCATCATTGTTTTGTTGAGGATTGGCGGATACAGTAGCCATGAAAGTCCGAGGTACAGCCTAATTCAGCCTAGTTCTATTGCTAACTTGTGTCTCAGAACTGCATACATGGACATTGCAACATCATAATAATAAACAACATACATGCACTTTCCATTGGCATCAGTATTCCTCGTAAGATTTTCGTCGCCTGTGTGGTGTGTTTCTCCACCAATGAGCGCGTACTATGATTATTTATCGCTGTTCTCACACTTCACCATTTTAGCAGCTTGCATATGCCATTGATATATGTGGAAAGCGCGCACGTGCGCCATTTCTGGTGTATAAGAATGATCATTCCTCCATTATCATCATTATCATCCTCTACTGATGAGCTCCAACAGGGAGCGAAACAGCTGTCTAGAGGCGTGGAGCAATATTATCTCTCAACGGAAGTGTCCTTGCTGGTGTCTGTATGGTTCGGCTGAAGAGCGCGTGGTTGTGATGAGTTGGGAATGCGATGAACTTGTGTCTCATTGGTGTAGTATTCTTTCATTGATGTAAAATTCTGCGTGCTCCCAGGCGATGTATTTGTCCCCGAAGGCAACGCCGTCCCTGCTCATGCCCCCGCCGTCGCCTCACTACGCCAAACAGCAGGTCTCCTTGCTGCAGATGGACCAGTCCCCGTTGCACGGCGGCCGACGGGGAATCCCCTCCCACCAGCCGCCGCTGGAACCGTCCCCGGAGGTGTCTGCGGCGGTGGAGGCGGCGCAGGCTGCGGCTGACTCGGCTGTTCACTCGGTGTGTATACGCGCGGGTGCCGATATCAACTCTGATCACTCCGCGACCAGTCACGAAAGTAAGCACCACTGGCAATTTGTTCATTGGCGATATGTTTCCTCGTTGGCTGTCGATAATTCTTGCCGTTTATCGCAATTGTACAGAGCAATCAGCCACAGAGTTTTCTGAGATCACGTCATGGGTATATACTATGTTTATCTATTCTGGAGGATACTGTATAGCAGGAAATTTTCGGACGGAAATATTTTCGGACAAAGCCGAATTTCGACCTTTCGTACGGATTATATTTTCGTACAGTGCTGCATGCTAAATACACGTGTTTGCATGTAGTACGCATGTATAGTGTACATAATTTCACATGAACAAATTTTAGTACGGAATTAATTTTAGTACAAAAGAAGCCGTGTACGAAATCGTACGAAAATAAATTCCGTCCGAAAATTTCCTGCTATACAGTATTTGGATGAGAAGTACCTGGGATACTGGTTAAAAGTCAGCATACATGTACACTTTCCTGCCGTCCATGCGGGTACGTCTGATCAGATGTACACTGTTACTGTACCTGCACAGACACTCTACTTCTGGTTACGGTCTATCTGTATGGATACACTTGCAATGGAATGCAACCCATCGTGAAACTTGACACTCTGAGAACTGCACCCCCCCCCCCCCTTAACTGGACGCCCCTAATCCGGGCGCCGTCCGTCCACCGGGCACCTCATCTCTGACCCATCTAGAGTCGCCGTGTCCAGACTCCTATTGTGTTCCTTTTGTCACCTGTCACTCTGGTCAATCTGTATGACTGCACTCGCAGTAGAAGAGAAAGAAAGCTCGGCGTCGCCGTGTCCTATTGTGTTGTCACATGTCCCTAGTGTCCACTGCAAAGTGAGAAACTTTCGCTTGGGATTAAATTTCACTGTTTTCGCGACCATCACGCATTTGCAAATATAATTCACCAAGAACTTCGCTGTACATTGATTGTCGACAGTACCCGATCCGATTGAATAGTTTAAATCGCGAAAAATTCTCAACGTAAACCAGCGCAATTCTTGAAAACCCCTAAATTTGCGCATTTCCGGGAAATTTCCGGAAATGCGTACCACTTTACAGTATCTGTATGACTGCACTCGCATTGGAAGAGGAAGAAAGCTCAGCGTCGCCGTGTCCTATTGTGTATTTATGTGTGTCACAGGTCACCCTCACATGTTCATGACGGCAGCTGAGTACGCACAGCTCACCAGCAGTCGTCCCCACAACCCCACCGTCTGGCAGGACCCGTCGGCCGCTGCGCAAGCGGAGATCGCCGCCAACCGGCAGTCGGCGCACATGATGTCGCCGCACGCCGCCTTACGCTACACGGTACCGGCTAGCTTCGATAATCAGGTGGGTTTTGGTGTGTAACAGGCGTACTGATGCTAAGACGTACGTACAGTACCACAATACTAACTCAATCTGCGGACAGAACTGTTTCGTCCTTTGTGGACTCATCAGCGTAGCACAGAGGAAATGAGGCCGAACCTGATAGCAAGGAAAAATAAATTCTCCAAAGCCAGATTTAAACCAGGCCCGAACGTACCTTGCCAGCGTGCTCAAACTGACAAGTCAGTGAGCTCTGCATAACGCAAACAGCAAAGGCACTACCCCACGCAAGAGTGCTCAACAGCTACAAGAGCAGGAGCGAAATACTTAATCTGCGCTATGTTCTCGGTACTGTTATTCAACAAATATTCGGCGCAGATTTATTTTCGGCTTTTTCGGCCTGGTCATGTTTGGCCGAAAATCAAAATGTGTTGCAGCCGAAATTTTGTTTTGCGAGTTTCAGTGTGACAGTGTGTATACAGGCGGCAGCAGTACCGGCCGAAAATGTGATGCGGCCGAAATGGGTTTTAGCCCTGGGAGGCCGAAATTCGAATGTGGCCCGAAAATGTGTGTAGACTCACAGTATCCCATACCTGCCAACTTTTGCAAACCTGACATCAGGACAATGACATACCTAGGTATGTAGATGTGTACAAATGTAGCTATGAGGCATCCGACTAATGCACGTTTGCGTGCCTATTACCACCCTCGATATCGGGACGGTCCCGGCCAAATCAGGATAGTTGGTAGGTATGCTATTCGTATTTCCCACGTCGTTGCCATAGTGATCTGAATCCATCAGGTATACAAGAGTGCATGCTCCAGTGGTCATTCTACGCTTCTGTAATAAATTGTGGCTGATGTCACCGAGTGCTTTGTTTCGGAACTCCGTCGACAGAATGCGTGTAAATGTGTTTGTGTGTGTGTGTGTGTGTGTGTGTGTGTGTGTATGTGTGTGTATGTGTGTGTGTGTGTGTGTGTGTGTGTGTGTGTGTGTGTGTGTGTGTGTGTGTGTATGCATTCGTATGTGTGTGTGTGTTTGGGTGTGTATTTGTGTATTTGTGTGTGTGTGTGCGTGCAATTGTGCAGATGTCAGTCGTGTCGGACTTGTCTGCTCGTCGCAATGAGGACGACCAGGCGTCAAACGCGACCGACGCTTCTTACTCGACAGCCACAGGCACGGCAACGGCAGTCTCACCTGGATCATTAACGGACAAGAAATCACATGTATATGTAGCTGATTGGGTGCATAGACAAGCTAAGGTAAGCATCTCTCAGCTCTTCAAGTGCAGCCCCGATGTCACCTTTATGGAGAAACAGCTCTATATTTTAGAAAATTGTTCACCCACCAGCTCGTTAGCGCGGATCGTTCATTGTCAGGGTTCTAGCCAGGTCAAAATAGCAGGGGGAGGGGTAATGGAAATCAGTTTGCCCGTCACCCATTTTTCCATCTTTCAAAATCGTCTTGCCATGCAAAATGAAACGTTCAGGGTGAACCCCTGACTTCACCCCAGGGCGCTCGATCAGAGTGGGAGCCCCCCCCCCCCCTCACCTTTGGCTAGAGCCCTGATTGTGGGATGAATGTGACGTGTCGATGTGTGTGTTCCTGCGAGGCAGCCAGAGTTGATCTAACTAAGCTAGTAGTTTGTGCTTATCCAAGTGTCAATCACCTCGTGTACGGTGATCCCAAGCAGCCAACTTCTTCTATTCTCATCACCAATGTGGCTACTGAACATACAGTGTACCAAAAACCAGCTATGCCAATAGGGCTGCAGTGAAATTTTTTATGTGTCCGCTTCCCTTCCGTGAATAATCATTTTGAACTCTTCTCATCTCTCTCTTTCTCTTCTGTTATTTCTCGCGCTCTCTCTCTCTCTCTTTTCTCTCTCTCTCTCTCTCTCTCTCTCTCTCTCTCTCTCTCTCTCTCTCTCTCTCTCTCTCTCTCTCTCTCTCTCTCTCTTTATATCTGTCTCTCTCTCTCTCTTTCACGCACACTCTCTCGCTTTCGCTTACTTCGGCTGTCTGCTGGTGTGTGGTCATATGTTTCATTGTGCTTGCGTGTGCGTGCAGCACAACCGGAAGACGAAAGACCAGAGCAATCCGTCGTCTCCTCCGAGAGGCAGAGGAATGTCTCCACCGGACAGCATGGAATCAGCCATGTGACAACAATCTTGTTCTGCTCAAGCTCGGATTCTAGGTACTTATAAGATCACACTTTTCTTCATTGCTATCCCAGGGCAGTGCTCTTCGCGTGCATTTACTAGAAAGATACGCAACCGGACCGGAACATCAGCCAACTGCCGAAAACACTTTTGAAAAGGTCTCCTGTTTTTACGTCGATTTTAGCTCGCATAAGGTCTTGACATAAGCTTACACATTCCCAACCGGCCAAAAACCTTTATTTTCGTCTTGCGAATTTTTTACCACTTACCACTGGATAAATCAGATTTTCTATTTTCTAAAAAATATTTTTCTTCTGGCTGTATGCCAGTTCTTTCTGAAAAAAGTTGAGTTCAAGGAGGAGTTTACGGCTCATCATGTTCAGCTATCTACATTCTCTCTCTCTCTTTCTCTCTCTCTCTCTCTCTCTCTCTCTCTTTCCCTCCCTCCCTCCCTCCCTCTCTCTCTCTCTCTCTCTCTCTCTCTCTCTCTCTCCCCCTCTCTCTCTCTCCCTCTCTCTCTCTCTCGTTCTCTCTCTACCTCCATCTCCCTCCGCTCTCCGTAGTGTGTGCTGTGTACGTTGACCTCAAGACCATTGGTCATGGGTGTGCACCACACCTCACCAGCACAGCTCATGTAGCACAGCTCATGTAGCACAGCTCATGTAGCACCTACGCACATGTTGTTCTCCTAGTGTTTGCTCTATTCCCGTAGGTGCACTGTATGTGCGCTTTGATACAAAAATTAAAAAATTAGAGTATTTGCTGGCAGCAACTTCATGTTGCGAAACGTGTCAAAACTGTTTCCGAAAACGTTGTCCATGCGTTTCTGTTTTGGTCGATTTCCCGGCGGAGGGGTGGGGGTGATTAGGATGTGCTGTTGCGTAAACTCAATGATTCCGGTCCACTGTCAAGTCTGTAGACCGTCGTTGTATGAGTGGAATTTTTCTCTTGGAAATGGGGCCCCACACCAGGCACCTTGCAGGGCCATGCTATTGACTGCAATAGTGATTTCAGATTCTATTCCTTTTTTACTCTTACCAGGGTTTATATTTGCTTCCATGTAATTGGGCTTATTGGCCGTTTGGTATTGCGAATTCAAATAAAAAGAACAACAGCATGACTTGTACTACTGCCCCAACTCGTTATCATGGGGCAGGAGGACTTGTTCCGCTCAACCTTGGTTTCTTCCCAGTCTACCCGGCCTGGCCACATCATACATGTCTGTATACACACTAGACTAGAGATTCTACTCATCTTAATCTCGGGACTACATGTATTTATACTAGTGGTGTGCACGGGTAGTCGGGTACCCGTGCTACCCGTGAGGACCTCGGGTAGACGGGTACCGAATCGTACCCGAAAACCCAAAGTCGCAGATGACATCATGTAGAAAGAGTAGAGAGAGGTCTACAGTGCACGTGTACAAATAATTCACGCATGTCTACCCAGTGTGTAAGGGAAGGGGCCGGTGTGCATTGTGGATTTACCATGGAAACATTACCCGATCGGGTACCCGTGCTACCCGTGGAAAACTACCCGGACCCGATACCCGAAGAAAATGCTACCCGACTCAGCCCTAATTTATACAGACTACGTCATTGGATAAAAAACACATACAGTCGTCCCTCTCTAATCCGGCACCTTTTGCAACGGCATTTTCTGCTGGATAAACAAGGGTGCTGGATTATCAAATCCTGCCCTCCAACCCGGCCCACATGTTATCATACATGTTTGTGTCGTACGTCAAAACGTAGGGATTTTCTGTGTCAAACCAAGTACTTTGTGGAATGCATGTCTACAACATACACTTAGGAATATCCTATGCACTGGCATAGGATATTCCCAAGTGTATGTTACATGTGTTGTGTATGTTACAATGGTCCCTGACAGTATGCGATGTACATTACTGCTGGATTAGAAAATCGAATTATGTACAGTTTGAGTGATTTGTTGCAGAAAGTCGCTGCTGGAGGCGGAATCCAAGTGCCGGATTAAAGCGTAGAAAATGAACAGAAAAAATCCGTTTTGCCAGAAAGTGTGCTGGTTTGCAAGGGTGCTGGATAAACAAGTGCCGGGGGATTAGAGCTACAGAGGGACGGCTGTACATGTACATGCCACAAATGACATGCATCGCCATTGCCATTGGAGATATTAAATGTACATGCCCTAGTATTATTGAGTGAGGATGGCTGTGCGGACATAGGGCTTGAAAGTGATGACGTCAAAAACGGCCAGGGAGTACTAAGTTGACATCAGATTTCTATTTTGGATCCACTAAGGTGTGACTTTGCTATTGCCTCAGTATGTGGGTGCATAGCAACCCACTCATGTCGTATGCAGGGGTGACTTTTACTTCGCCACCAGTTGTAACCCCGCCCCCAGTAGCCAAATCAGTCAGTTTCACTTACATCGCCTTGCTGTGAGTAAGACGGCTTGAAATGTGCTTGGATCCATACAAAAACTGGATCCAAGTGGATCCAATTTTTGAATTTTTGAAATTGTTGCTATGCTGTGACGTAGCACTTTCAAGCCCTATTGACACATGGGGGGGGGGGGGCGCACGCATGCTACACACTGCTGTTACATCAGTAGCATGCGTGCAGTCTAGACATCTGTAGTCATCTGTATCATGTGTACTGTATACATGTAGTCATCTGTATACGTACTAGTACTAGTCTAGTAGTGTAGTCTAGCTGCAAAAAAAACTCATAAAACCATGAGTGGCATGACACATGGTCATGGATGTACAATGACCAATGGTTGTGTCTACGTACGTGAATACAGTCATCTACATGTATGATTATGACATTTTACATGACATTGTGCGTCAGTGTGACATCTGAGTGAAAGTCAGTGGAGGAGGTTCCCGGGTACTGGTACATGGTGGGAAATGGCGGCCATCGCGTCATGATTCATGTCGCCATGATCGCGACATGACCGTGTCCTTGACACCTAAATTCCTCCTCCTAATCCTTCCTCTGAAGGCTTGGTGCAGTGGTTTAGTGCTACAGCTAGGTCGGCATGCATGGCCAGTGCAACTGTTATCAAGGTTATCATGGTTATCCCCTCCTCTCATAGAGTCATACTCATTATTGATAATGACATAGTCATAGCCATACTTGGCACATAGCCTACACTACAGACTCACTAGTCGGTGTGTGTAAGCATAGGCCCTGGCGAGGCATGTCTCGGTCTGGCATGCTCTGATGACTGAGTGAGGTTGTCAAGAGTCTGAGCTCAGTGAGATGCAAACTGACTGTGTCAAGACAGCATGAGCGAAGCCCCGTGTTTTGTTTGGCCCTTCGCTGCACAGTCAGTGCAGTGCACAAGTACATACTGTACCCATACCCAGTCATAGAATACGGAGCCCACATCATACACACACGTACTGATGTAGATGTACGTAGGGCAAGGCCGTGCACCTGCAGTCCAATGCATGACTGTACAGCACCGAGACTGAGAGTCAGTGAGATCTCGAGAGGCAGTGAGGCAGTGCACGCGCGAAAGTGGCTTGGCCGGTGTTGCTTGTGTACTTGTGTGTTCAAGACTAACCTCCTGCTGCTAAGGCGTCCATTCCTCTTCAAATTATTTACCTTTCTCTACAAACCGAGCAACGACACTTAGTGGAGAATGGCGGACCGAGAGGAGTGCGTATATCGCGCCAAGCTGGCGGAGCAGGCAGAGCGTTATGACGGTGAGTCGAGCTGGTGGGCATTTCTGTTTTTGGGCGCAATTATCTTCAGTTATTGCTTTCCGCTGGCTACCGAGCGAGGGGGAGCAGGTGGCGTCCCTAGACTCGACCTAAGTAGTGCGCAGTGAACTCGTTACAACTGTGTGGATGCTATACCCAAGCAGTTGTGGGTGATATGCAGATGCGCGCACGCTGGCGTAGCGAACAGTGCCCTTGCAGTGTTTCCGGCAGACATGCAGATACTTCGGCGGACTTGCATCTTTTTTTCTCCGTTTTCTCGCAGTTCGTTTGTGACTGCTGTGCGTGCAGATGGCGAGCAGAAATGCAGACGCTGCAGGTGTAGGTCTACTAGTCGGCACGCTGAATTTTGTAACATGAATGTCCACCATTGCGAGCATGGAGCATGATCATTATTGCTACTGTTGATAAAAAAAATTAAAAAAATTCCGCACTCTCCCAGTCGAGAAGTCCGCACGGTCACCAGTGCTCATTCTTTGTGGCCTTGACCAGAGAGCCAGCAGCAGCAGCAGCTGGCATGTTTGCTCCTTCACAACATACAAGAGTTAGTACACATAGTCGTTGTAACGATGTATCATGTAGCCCCATTGCCTCAACTCGTGTGCAATCCACTGCATTGCCATTGGCCAGGGAGCAGGTAGTCTAAAGCTCGCCTCCGGGGATCTCACCCAACCTCGTCCCTACATCGCTACCGTGAAGTAACACTAACGGTTTGAAAGTGTCCTTCAATTCATTCGCCTATCCGCTAGTATCCAGTGCTCGGATTTGCCTGTGCGCCTGGGTGTCCCGCTTGCCATGTGGTTATTGCCAGTCGCTCGCTAATTGAAAAATAATTCAATATCGCCGCTCGGAGGAGAAAATGTACACCATTGGTGTGTATGAACGAAAGCCGCTCAAGTAGTGCTGGCTGCCGGCAGGAAATGATACCCCCCCAGTCTGACGGTTATCGTACTTTCGAAGCTCCCGTGTACAGTTCGTTGCCTTCCTCACCGAGAGCGGTCCAAACTGCGTTGTGCTACTATGGCGGGCGTAGCGTAACGATATGCCCCGCCGACTACATTTCAGTTTGAAATGAGCGATTATTTGCAAGTCCTGCGCTGCTGCTATTCGTGTCCAGTTGGGACACATCCGCTGACTGGGGAAGTGCATTGTTATTTTCAAGCCAAAACTGCAAAAGGATGAACAAGCGCTTGAGGAAAGTGGCACATTCCTACTACGTGGCATGTGGCCTCTAATGTCCTACTCTTGTTAGAATTGTTTGTCCAATGGGTTCTTGTTTGCGACCAACACATTTCTAGTAAAAACATTAATAATAAGTAGAATGACATCTCTGCTATCCCACCATAGTAACTTAGGGCATGCCATCGAGTTTGCTCACAACAGCACGGAGGGAGTACATGTAAAAAACGTCTTTGCTATAACTATGTGGAGCTTCATTGTCACACAGCAAGCAACTGATGACTAGAGCCATGTGACCCCTCCCCCCCCCCATATAGGGAGAATTGGGGGGGGGGGGGGGAGTCACATGGCTTGAGTACACCACATGTAGTAGAGCTGTTGGCGTTGTGACCTTCGATCTCCTGAGAGCTACATGCAGCTGTTAGGTCTCGTCAGCGGAGCTCAAAATAATTTGCCAAACTGATCGCATTGAGGCCTAGTGAACAGCAATCCATTTTCAATTGGGCTCAAAACATCAGTGGCTCAGTGCTCCAACTGCGAGGGGCGTAGCGAGCGTTGGACAAGGGCAGCTTCTGTGACCTTTGTGTGCGTCAGTAGTAGTTTCCCTAACGGGTGCCTTTTTATGTCCGCATGGCGTCGAGACCTCAGGTCGGCTGAGGGCAAAAAGCCGCACCATCACTATGCTCCCACTATGCATTTTTTTGTCTTTGCCGTCCTTTGCCAGTGTTCACTGTACTCTGCCAGATATGGCAAGCATGTATGAACATCTAGCATATACATGTAACGAAAAACATGACTGGCTAAGTGATAGTGGTGAAACGAATATTCGAATATTCGTTCGGTTTGTCACATTCGAATATTCGTTAGGTCACATTCGAGTACTGTAAATATACAAAATTTCGGGGCTGCAAAATTTCGGCACTTCACGATTTTTGACTTTTCGGCGGCGATTTATTTTCGGCGTGGGGTAGAGGGGCATGGTATAGTGCGACAGATGCTGTGAAAAATTTCGTCGGCGTTTTAATTTAGGCGTTTTGGGTCGGTGCCGAATATAGCCGAAATTAAATAGCTGCCGAAAATTTGTATATTTACAGTATTCGTTACGTCACTTCTAATGCAGTAGTGCCTGTACATACATGCACGCCGAACACGGTACAGTGCAGTGCGTACAGCCTGCCGGTGACTTTGTACTGCATGCATGCACATGTATGTCCATACTGGACTGTCAATGTTGCACATAACTTCAATTTTTTATGAATTTCGAAGTAGCCTTATGTGGCAGTATATTTTGCGTGGCACTACCGTTTGTCATGCCTAATAATATATTAGTATTGACAATATCCATCAAATGACTGAGAGGAGGGCATGTGATGTCATCTGTGTTACCAAAAGAATATTCGTTCATCCGTTCGTTAAGCTGAAGAATATTCGACTAGTAGGTTTTGACATTCGTTTCACCACTAGTAAGTGATCCGACATTTAACCTCCTGTTCAATGATGACCATCCACAAAAAAAGCATTATTTTTTTCACGAAACGAAAATATTTTCGTTTTGGGGTGGAAGGGGGTTGGACCGATTTCCTTTCAGAAAGCAGTGATACCTGTACAATGTTCGTAGGAGCAGTCTGAGGGGAGGGAGGGGTTGGCTTGAAATGAAATTATCTTCGTTTCGTGATAAATTCTCGATATTTACGGACGGCCCCAAAATGGATGAAGTGTAGTGTAGTACGGATGTAGTATTGTGTTCATCATCAAGTGTGCATACTCGTGCTGTGTGTGTGTGTACGTGTGTGCACGTGTGTCTGTGTATGTGCGTGCCTGTGTGTGTGCCTGCGTGTGTGCCTGTGTATGTGTGCATTTGTGTGTGCGGTGTGTGTTTGGTGTGTGTGTGTGTGTGTGTGTGTGTGTGTGTGTGTGCAAGCGTGCGTGTGTACATGTGTGTACATTCGTGTGTGTGTGTGTGTGTGTGTGTGTGTGTGTGTGTGTGTGTGTGTGCGCGCGCTTGTATTCTCGTTTTTCTTTCACAGAGATGGTAGAGAACATCACGAATGTCGCCAAGCTTGGCCAAGAGCTGACCGTTGAAGAGCGCAATCTTCTCAGCGTCGCTTTCAAGAACGTCATTGGTGCACGCCGGCAGTCTTGGCGGATAATCGCTGGGTATGTTATGTGCATGTGGGTGGGTGTGTGTGGGTGCGTGGGGGGGGGGGGGGGCGTGTATGCCTGTTTGTGTGGGGGGGGGGGGCGTGTATGCATGCGTGTGTGTGTATGTGATGTGCGTGTGTGTGTGTGTGTGTCAGGCCCGTCGCACCGACTTTGGAGGTGGGGCGGCCATGGAAGGGGGGTGCGGAAGTCCTCCCCCGGGAAAAAATTTCAAAAATTGAAGCCAATTGCAAGCATTTCCGGGCATTTGGTGCCATTTCAGTGTACGGTAACTACAATGAAAGACTTTTTGATTCTGCAACAAACCAAGAAGACGCTACGATCGGGGACAAACATTACCCTCCTCCGGGAGAAAAATTCACAAAAATTGAAGCCAATTGCAAGCATTTCCAGGCATTTGGTGCCATTTCAGTGTTAGCAATGAAAGACTTTTTTCTGCAACAAACCACGATCGGGGGGCCGGGGACAAGGATTTGTCACATTTGCGCTAAGCTGCGATCATCGCGCTTTGTTGTAATGTGCTCAAAAAAAAAAGTGGCCGAAAAAGTGGGGCGGCCTCAGCTGCCCCAGCCGCCCCGGCTGTGACGGCCTTGTGTGTGTATGTGTGTGAACTCTCGTTGGCCGCTAGCCTGCGGAGCGTGCTGCGTACCGTATTCAACGACCTACGCTGTCAGTCCCTCGTATGAGGGGACATGTGACCGTTTTACGGCAATGTTCAGGACAGGATGTGTGTGTGTGTGTGTGTGTGTGTGTGTGTGTGTGTGTGTGTGTGTGTGTGTGTGTGTTTGTGTGTGTGTGTGTGTGTGTGTGCACATGTTCGTATGTATGTTCACATGAATGTGTGTGTGTGTGGACGCGCTTCTGCTGCAGCTGATGGTGATACTACTGCTGCTGCTGATTCTGGATACGTTTGCGTTATGCTGTGTGTTGTGTTCTCAGCATTGAAGGCAAGGAGGAGAGCAAAGGGAAGTCGAGTGCCCTGACCAAGGAGTACCGTGAACGGGTTAGTGTAGTTGCTGGAATCAGGGGTGCACTGTTAAACTGTTCTACACTACAGTGCTGTCGGTCGCCGAAGAACTGGGGGTGAGGTCAGCCTCCTAGCCATGTCCGTTCTTATTTTCATGTACTACAGTCGATGGGCAGTTGAGTCCTCGTGTATACATTGGTATGCTGTGCTTGATGAAATTCTAGCCTGGCCGTTCTTCGGCGCGCGACAGTACAGTAGTGGCTGCATGTCCACTGGGAGTGACTGGACCGGACTGAACCCTCCCGGCCAGCGACCCTCTCCTGGTTCAGTCAGACCTCGCCGCTTATCCGGTCCTCTTTTATACGGATCCCTCGCTATCCGGTAGACAATCGTTGGTTACCAATTTACAGCATATGCCGTGAATACATACAGTATGTGTGTTCGATTGTCCAGTTCCCTCGCCTATCCGGATATTTTTTTGTGAAAAAAAACAGATGTGTGCGGTTATGTGAGGTCTGACTGCACAGAACAAAACACACACACCTGCGTGTACGAACAACACCACAATGTATAGGGTTCCACCCACCATAGCCTATACTTCGACATGGGCAGAGTGGATCCAAAAGTCAGTATTTGCCGTTCGATTATGACTTCTGATGTCATCGCTTTCAGGCGCTATTATCCCCTAAAATGTGTCCATGCGAAAGGACATAAAAGCACAACCTGAATTGACCGTTGAAAGACGTTGTATTGCTGGTATTGCCGGCAGCTCTGCTGCTGCTGCTGCTGCTGCTGCAGCCTCTGAGGCTGGACACATTGGACATTCATGATGTTTGCTTCTGCTTGTGTTTGTGTGTATGTATGTGTGTGTGTGTGTGTGTGTGTGTGCGCGCGTGTGTGTGTGTGCGCGCGTGTGTGTGTGGTGTGTGTGTGTGTGTGTGTGTGTCGCTATTTGTGTAACTTGTGCAGATTGAGAAAGAGCTGACCGATCTCTGCGGTGACATCATTTCTCTGCTCGACGACTACCTCATTCCTAATGCCGCAGGGCCGGAATCCAAGGTCTTCCTGTACAAAATGTAAGCAATGACTATTTGTATCCCCACGGTCCAGGGGGCGTCGGACACGCTACGGTCACTGCGGTATTGACCGTACCACTCTTTCCCTCACGTACCTCACGAATCAATAAAAAAGCACTGATCTGGGCTCGAAATTTCGAGCCACCCAAACCCCCCAAGTACGAAGTATTATTGTAGTTCAGGTGGTTGACAGTGCCACCCTAATATATCTTCCGACGCCCCTGCCCCCAGTGTGTTTTAAAGCTTGCGCTGAAGCGGCTCCTGAGCTTGGTATCCGAGTCAGCCTCTGTGTTAGCAGAAATTGACTTGATCAGTGTGTAGTGTATAGTGTTGCTTAGGGACATCTGACCAACCCAGTCCATATCAAGCTGGGTGCTACTGTTCAAGTACAAAGTTTAGTTCACGAAATCTTTCGTTTGATCACTCCACCGGCAGGTTCGTCACGTACTAAATTTCGTTTTTGGTCTAGGTCTGTCACCCCGAATGTTCAGGGGAAAAAAAACTTTAGTGGGGTACAAACTTTAGTTACTTCGTACCCCCTAACGAACATAGCGAAAGTTAATTCCAAACGCAAGCTTTGTACTTGTACTGTATGTAGCACATCCCCAGATCTGTGTGAACACTGGACTGTACACTGGTGCAGGGCCCACACTTGACTCTCGTGACCGGATTTTGTTGAGAGTACCACTGAAATACTGTGTTCAGCTCAGTACCAATTCAATACCATATTTCGGCGAGGGGTGAAAGAATTATACGGAAAATCCGACCACTTTGTCAGTTCGAAATTTCCGGGGAGACAAGAAAGATATGAACGCAATAAGAAAGGCGAGTGTGTGTGTGCGTGTTAAATGCGCAACACGCCTTACTTATCGCCTTTCCAACTTTCTAAGTTATCTCTTTCACTGCCAGCTGCACTCGACATGACAAGCATTCCAGTGCCAGAGTCAGCTGACTATAATCCCTCGGTGCAAGTTCCTGCAAACTAGTCATCCTCCTTCCAAGCAGGTTTTCCGGCAGACCTCAATAAAACAATGTTGAAGTTCAGGAGATAAAAATAAATAGTGTACTATCTTCGCTCAAAATGAGTTTTAAACTAGAATTTGCAGTATTGGAGTTATTTGCAGAATACTAAGTGAGAGCTCATTCCATGCTACAGGCAGTGTGTACAGTATAGTAAGTACGCATACGCACACGTGCAATGCGAGTGGCTCTATATCCTGTAGAAAACGCAAGTAAACTCGGGCGGAAAAAGTTCAGAAAAGACGCGCCCGTTCAAGAACCAGGACTACCACGGTGATCAGAGATCAGTAAATGAATGAAGCAATCAGTTCGACAGTTCTGCAAAAACATCACTCTTCTGTGTACTGTAAAACCGAAACATTTCGGTGGAGATTTATTTTCGGTAACTTCGGTACAGGTAATTTTACCCAAAATAAAACGCGACCGAAAATTCAACAATGCCTTGCCACACAGTGTGCAAAATGCATTTTTGGATCTGGAAAACTGCTTTACCCAATTTCCCGCGCTACCGAACCGTTGATTTTGGGAAATACCGAAAATATCACACCACCGAAAACTCCCGGTTTTACAGTACTGCAAAAGCCGAAATTTTCGGCGGTGTAACATTTTCGGTATTCTCCAAAATCGGCGGTTCGGTGGAGGGAAATTTTCGGTAAAACCCGTTTTCCAGGTAAGTGTACTAGTACTACACATATACAGTACCGGGAGTACCGAAATTTTCGGTGCGTTTTATTTTTGGTAAAAATTAACGGCGGCGAAGTTACCGAAAATAGAACACCACCGAAAATTTCTGCTTTTACAGTGGGTGATTTTGTAGTGCAGAAGAGTGTGATACCGGCGAATACACCAACTAGGACACATCGGCAGTTCACACTCGCTGCAGCACCAGGTATTTAGCTTGCGTCGCTTTGCTCCTCTGTAACGCTGCAGTCAGGTTTTCATTGCTCGTGGAACGGCTTGGAAAAGTGGCGCTTGCTCAAGCGAATGTGCTCACATGAACAGCTGCTGTTACCGTCGCGGAGCGAGCTGATCTTGTAACGCCAAGAGGCCATTCCATCCTGGCGACAATGCCGTCAACGAGTTGTGCCCTGAACTGCTTCAAGTAGATTTTTTTTGGTTATGTTCTCGTGAAGAGTCATGGCGTTGGTGGTGCCGCGTTCGGTCAGTTGGTGGAATATAGCAAGGTACTAACGTCTGTGACGATGAGGAAAGTGATACTAGCTAACTAGTGGGTCCGCTTTGTCCACATCGCCCACGTAACGTTAGGCATTGTAAGAAGCGACACTGGACGGTTTGTGTACGCATCTTCTCCCCGGTGTCACTCCGCCGATCTCTGACGACAACGTCGACAGAAGTTGCAGTGTGAATTGTTCACTTTTACCTGCTTTTTGTCGTACCACGGCGGCGCTAACAGGTGGCATCTTTGGCCAATGCCGTGTCGGTGTTCCTTTCTTGTGCTTTGTTCGGATCTCCTCAGGCAAGCCCTTTCTCTTGGCAAGCACAGTTCCGACTGCCCCCAGGCGCTTTCCTTCCATGCGACGAAATGTGATGGTGACGTATAGTAGTTGTCCATGTAGACAATATGTCCCGGTTGAAGATGCTCTACGAGCCGGGAGACGACTTGCTCTCCCCTGCCTCTGGTGTCATTGTCGGCCGTTTGGTCTTTCCCGGTGTAGATAAACCAATCGCAGGCATGGCCGGTCGTCGACTCGGCTAGGACAAACGCCTTCATGCCCCACTTCATGGGCTTGGCCGGCATGTACTGCTTGAAGGATAGCCGACCTTTGTAAGCGATCATCTGTTCATCGACACTCGCCTCGCGCAGAGGGGTGTACGCCTGACGAAAGTTGGTGAACACGCGATCAACAAATTTCTTCATTTTGTAGAACAGGTCATATAGATCTGCCTCTTCCTTGTCGACGAAGTGGAGGCCTGTCACTGTGACCAGCAACTGAAATTGGTTGCGTGCCATCATTTTTGTAAATCTTTGAGTCCTAAACAACCTGTGACCACTCCAGTAGTTGTGGACCTCGGGTTGCTGGACCCTCATCCCCATAGCTGGAAGGAGGAGGATGGATACCAGCATGTCCTTCTTGGTCGTGTCCCGCCACTTTGGGTGCCGGGAATTTGGATGCCGGTCGCCAAGCTGACGAATGCGCCGGTGGCCATAACTCTGTCGTCTCCGTCACCATGGTTTTAACAATAGGGCTGTCAAAAAACGCGCCATCGTGAGAATACAGAATTTAAATAAAGAATTCAAACTAAGCTTCGAAAGTGTCAATTGCTTTGACATTGTCCGGATCAACATCAGCCAGGTTCGATCCTGCCGTCTTCTCGAGGACTTCAGGTAGCCACGCATAGTGATGTTGCGTCACTCTGCGCAAACTTTCTGCCACGTAGCCGCCAAAGCCTCGTGATCCGATTCTGAATCGCTCGGTTCCGACTCTGGAAAACCCAAGAACTCTTCTTCATCAGAAGAGCCACCGAAAATGTCTTCTAGATCATCACCTAGGCTTGTAACGGCGGGGCATAGCGCTTGCAACAACATTCCCTGACATATCTAGCGGGTGCATGCACCTCTCTAGCTGTCGCCTACGGTGTAGGCAGGCAGCATGTTGGATATGTCTTGTGTCATCTTCTATCTCTACCAGAAGATCATGTGGTTATGCAGGAGTGACGGTCGTCATGACGAATACTCTCTGCCAATATTAGATAGGAAATGCGTGTGCAGACAACGTGATGAGCCAGAGGTTTTGCTGTTGCTAACATCCCTCTTCTCCCCCTCTCCTCTCTCTCCTCTGTCTGTCTCTCTCTCTCTCTCTCTCTCTCTCTCTCTCTCTCTCTCTCTCTCTCTCTCTCTCTCTCTCTCTCTCTCTCTCTCTCTCTCTCTCTCTCTCTCTCTCTCTCTCTCTCTCTCTCTCTCTCTCTCTCTCTCGCTTGTTGGCTGTGTTGCAGGAAGGGTGATTACTTCCGCTACAAAGCCGAGTTCTCGCAGGGTGAAGCGCGCTCTGAAACGGCCGAATCCTCTAATAATGCTTACAGCGAAGCATCTACGGTAAATGAATAGGATTGTGCCGTTCCACCCAGCTTCTTTTTCCACAGATTCCTGCAGGGTACTCCTCACCAAGAAAAGGTGCTGGCAAAATAACGCCATGCCGGCGCCTCAGTGTTTTCCTTCCCTGGCACTCGATACCGTAAAAGCCCGCAGTGACACCCGACCTGTATAACACCCGACCAGTATAGCGCCCGCTGTCCGTGTACACACCCAGGTGCCTGGTGTCAGCACTCTTGTCCCATGTTCTAGCCCACCTCCTTGTAAACGCCCATGGGCGACAGCACATGCCCAGTGGACACAGTGTGCAGTGCATGCACAGCTGCACATGCATGTATGGTTCTGTAGTGTAGTGCCCAGTGGACAGTGTGCACTGCATGCACAGCTGCACATGCATGTATGGTTCTGTAGTGTAGTGCCCAGTGGACAGTGTGCAGTGCATGCACAGCTGCACATGCATGTATGGTTCTGTAGTGTAGTGGACAGTGGACAGTGTGCAGTGCATGCACAGCTGCACACGCATGCATGTTGCCTTAGTGTGTACAGTTGCGCTCACTGAAATCCGACCCAAAGTGCAAAGCTGACGGCCTGGACCAGTTCCGATTACATCATTGTGTGTGTGTACATGGGTACGCCCAGCCGCATTCGTTTCACTTTCAGGGCGTCAAGGGCCGTGGAAGCTGAGGGCGCCAGCTTTGCACGTTGGGTCGGATTTCAGTGAGCGCAACAGTACGTTAGTGTACAGTGCACAGTACGTTAGTGTACAGTGCACAGTACGTTAGTGTACAGTGCTGGGAACTGAAATCCTCTGACCCCATGTTCACATTCAGATGATTCTAGCGGTCTCTATTTCGTAGTTCTACTATCCCGTGTTGGGTCTTTGCGATGTGAGCGCACCACTCAGGC